CCGATAGTAAATTCTGAGTAATATGAGGAACATGTAAAATATTCCTAAGAGAAAAATCAGCAGAAGGAGTGGTAATAACAGAAGAACCAATATGCGATATAGGTAAGCAGTTACCATCTCCAACTTGCAAAGAATCAGAACCCGAGTAAGGAACAGAATTTTGAAGATAACTGTTATCAGCAGTAACATGAGCGGTAGCCCCAGTGTCCATGATCCAAGAGGCAGAAGGAGATTGGGACTGTGGATGGACATAATAGCCTGAGTACGGAGACGAGGACTGTGAAGAGGAAGTCTGATTGAGAAGACGACCTAGCTTCCTACAAGTGGCAGCGCCATGGCCACGCTTGTCACAGAATTGACAAACAATAACTCCATGAGAGGAGTGGGAAGAAGAATGTGAGCTGGAAGAAGAGTCGCCATGAGAAAATGGAAACGGTGCACGAGAAGAAGATCCAAAAGTAGAATTTTGCTGCCAAGAAACAGGAGGTGTTGGAAGCAATCCACGATAGCCCGAATTCATAGGGCGAGACTGAAATTGAGCCTGAAATTGAGGTTGACCAAATGAGGATTGGCCCTGACCAGGTCCTCTGTTCTTAGAATGGATATGAGATCCACGACCTCTGTGGTGTGGAAAAGCAGCATAAGCATGAAAGGGTTCATGAGTGACCGGCAGAGAAGAACGAGTCTTGCGATGTAGGATCGCAGCTTCACGACCAAGTAGGAAACCATGAAGCTCATCAGAAGACACTAAGTCACTACGAGTTTCAATAGAGGTCACAAAAGAATCATACTCCTCAAGAAGACCAGCCAGGATGTAAGCAACAAGATCAGAATCAGTGAGAGGTTGGTCAGCTGCGCCCAAACCAGCAGCAATTTCCTTCATCTTCTGCAGGTATGTGACCATAGACAGATCACCTTTGGTGAGGGTTTGAAGACGCGAGCGCAATTGATGAACGCTAGCACGAGAAACTCCGGCGAAGCGTTTCTCAAGAAGTTCCCAAAGAGCACGCGAGCTCTCAATGCCCACAGTATGAGAGAGAAGATCAGAAGATAATGTGGAGATAATCCAAATCATCAGGCTTTGATCTTTATCATACCAAAGATCAAAGGCTGGATTCTCAATGGTGGAACCTGTAGAGTCAAGAATTGTGCGAGGAGGAGAAGGCTCATCACCAGTGACGAGACCGAGCATCTTGAATTTGCGAAGAATTGGGAGAAAAAGATTTTTCCAGAGCAAATAGTTGTTTGCCTGAAGTTTGATCGGAATCATGCCGGAAATATTCTGAACAGTAACAGTGGTGAAAGCTGGAATTGCAGACAAGGCAGCAGGAGAAAGAGCAGGACTACCCGCAAGCAATGGCGTTTGACCTGAAGAAGCATCAGAAGCCGCCATGGAAGCAGAGAGGAAGAAGAAAAGTTATGGTTTGAGAAAGGAAAAAAATAGCAGAGGAGAGAGTGCGGAAGAGAGGATCGAATGGCGATGATACCATAAAGGAATTGTAATTCTTATTAACCGTAAGAATCATTTGTACAAGCTTTATATTAAAATACAATGATGAGCTGATGATGAGCTGTCAAATACAGCTGTATAAGATTAGTTACAGATGGCTAACTAAGAAGTTATTATTTTTAACTCTTGTACACTCACCCTCATAAACTTCAAAGCAGGCAGAAGATTGGTTGTCATGGGAAGTAACTAAAACCCGCTTTTTCATGACAGGAATTCTGGTGTTTCTTGGAATCACAACTGTCATTTTGCCCCTCCCAGTCTCCACTCCAAGTGATAGAGGGGTGACATCCAAGAGAGTGAGGTCTTGAAGCTTCCCATTTCCATCCCCACTCAAAACTGCAGCTTCAATAGCTGCACCACATGCCACAGCCTCATCCGGATTAATGCCCTTGCACAGCTCCTTCCCCTTGAACACATGCTGCAATAGCTATTGCACCTTGGGGATCCTAGAAGAGCCACCAACAAGGACAACATCATGGATGCTTCTTATGTCCATATTAGCATCCTTCAAACACTTCTCCACCTGCACCATGCATTTTTCAAAGAAATCCATGTTGAGTTGCTCGAATTTGGCCCGGGTAATAGTTAAGCAGAAATCAACACCCTGGTCCAAACAATCAATATCAATGTCAGTCTCAGATATAAATGAAAGCCTCCTCTTCGCCTTATCACTGGCATTTCTTAACCTCATAAGAGCCTTGGAGTTTCCACTAATGTCCACTTTATGCTTCCTCTTGAATTGCTCAACGCAATAATTCACCATTCTGTTATCAAAGTCACCACCTCCTAGATGAGTGTCTCCAGAAGTGGTCTTCACTTCAAAGACACTGTCAGCTATGGTAAGTAGTGAAACATCCAAAGTACCACCACCCAAATCAAATATCATCACATTTCTCTTGCTATACCAACCGGCCTTCTTGTGAAGACCATAAGCAATGGCTGCAGCAGTCGGCTCATTGATGATGCGCATCACATTTAGGCCAGCACTAGCACCTGCATTTTTCGTAGCCTGTCGCTGTGAGTCGTTAAAGTAGGCAGGGACTGTGATAACTGCATTTTTCACAGTTGAACCAAGATAGGCCTCAGCAATCTCCCGCATTTTTACAAGAACCAGAGATGAGATTTCTTCAGCAGCGAATTGTTTCTCTACGCCCATGTGGGTAACCACAATCTTTGGCTTATCATCAGGACCTTGAATGACCTTGAATGGCCAATGCTTCATATCATTTTGAACACATTCATCACTGAACCTCCTACCAATTAACCTTTTTGCGTCTGCAAATTGATGACGAAATTAGAAATATACAATTCCACAAGGAAACAGGTCATATGATAAAAATAAAAGCATATCGTTAATGTAAAAATTCTGTAAACTATTCCAAATTCTGTCACTCTCTCACTCTGCCACAATGATATTACTAATTAGTTGTTATTACAAGCAAACAATAATGAATAGTAGACCTTCTGTGCTGAACAAATCACATTTAAGTTTTAACTAAACTACTAGCTTAATTAACAAAAACAAGAACAAAAAGAAGACAAATTAAAAACAAATGGAAGAAGCAGAGCGTCAGCAAAATTCAAAGCTGATTTGATAAACAAATTAATTGGTCATATGGGAGAAGATCATGTGCTTACCGAAGATGGTGTTGGTTGGGTTTCTTATTACCAGATTGTATGCAGCATCTCCAATCAAGCGCTCAGTATTTGTGAAAGCAACATAAGAAGGAGTGGTCCTGTTGCCCTGATCATTCACTATAACTTCTATATTATCATGCTGCCACACAGCCACACAAGAGTATGTTGTCCCTAGGTCAATCCCGATTGCATGGCCTGCTCCGGCCATTGTCAGCCAAAAGAAAACTCTGAAGATCAAAATCCCACAGCCTCGCTCAGTTGGGTTTTAGGTAATTTTTTGATTAGAGAGTGT